AAAAGAATGCCGTGCCACATCATCTCAGTAAAGCTATCTTTCCACCGAATCTACTGTTCCTTCACGTTATACTGCAACCATCACACCAAACAATATCCCACAACACGCGACGAAACTTAACGATACTATTCCACACCATATTAAAACACAGCGCACAAACCCTTTACACCACATAATACCAAACTAAACCACACCATGTCTTACAATCTCTCAAACACTTCACCTTTCACTACACCATATCATAGTATACCATGACATATCAGAGATTCTGACGTGGTATACGAGAGCTATAAGAGGAAACAGACTGTGTGGTTAACCCATTTTAAGGGGATTGTGATTTTATATAGTTTGTTAAGGGGGAATCTTGAGTTGCTAATCTTATCTCGGGTGATTCGGGGTACTCTCTTTTAAGAAAAAAATATCCTGAACCCTCATTAAAAATATCCTGAAATCCTGAACTCTCGTTTAAGAAAAAATATCCTGAACGGTTCGGATCCCGTGGAAAAGGGTGTAAAGAAACACACTATTTACGAATCCTATTGTTAAATACATCTTGTATCAAGAAGTCGGGCAAAATCTGGACAATTCTAGAAATCCGGATTTCCTGATCTATCCGAATAATCGGTACCTTTGACTTATGCCACACATATACTAACAAGTTGACGTAGGAAGTGGAGAAGTGGGATCTAAGTTATAAACCTTTCACTTACACAACAGTTCTTACTGTAATTCCTCTCTTCTTACTGTAATTCCTCTCTACACGACCAATTTGAGGCGTTTACAACTGAACTTTAAGACACCCAAATGTATTCCAGTTAAACCTTTTTTTTTTCATCCTCTGCTTTTTTTTAAAGGAGGGGGCAGGGAGTGGGGGAAGGGAAGGAGCACGGAGGGTAAATAGAGTGGTGGTTGTGGGGGGGGAGCAGGGAGGGGGATAGAGAGGGAGCTGGGAGTGTGGAAAGGAAGAGAGAAGCAAAGAGGTAGAGAGCGGAGCAGGGATGTAGGCAGGGTTGAGGGGGGGGGGGGGGGGCAGGAAGAAAGGGTAGTCCTTCTGTTTTATCATTTGTAGAACCCTTCACTTCCATCCTCATGCAGATACACAATCTCTTCGTCCAGAATCAAGTGTATTACTTTGAGGAAAGATCAAACATGGAACCAGCCTCCTTATCGGCTTTAGTTTTATAAATGCTCCTTTGGGCGTCTCTACACGAGCATCTACAAACCCAACGACGTTACAGTTACTCTCCTTGTTATTTCAATGATTTTTTAAAAGATAAACATAAGAATGGCATGTCATGAAGAAAGAAAAAAATAAGATTTGACTTTGATTGGCGATTACGGTGGTCCAGAAGCGATTTCAGTTAGCGCTTTTGCTCTTGTTAGCTCGTGTTTGTGGAATGGTTATTGTAGTCTTTAGTTACTGTTAGTTTTAAAGAAGGGGAGGTTGTTTATTGGTTATCATTTCAGCTGTCTGATTTGCTTTCCTGTTGGCGTTTGTTAGTTTAGGGTTGTTTTTTGTTTGTTGTTTGGTTTTTTGTTTTGATTGAATCTTTTGGGGGTGGGATTTTTTGTTGTTTTTTTCTGTTGTTTTTTTAATTTTTGTTTTACGAGAGGTGTGTGTGTGTGTGTGTCGAAGAGGGGGGTGGGGGTGGATAAAGAACAGACGACGTTTAACTTGACCCAAAAAGTAGATGGACAAAAATAAAAATGGTACAACAGTCCATTCACTCATGAAGATTCTGTCGATTCAACATTTTTCACATCACTGTCAGTCTGGGATAAATAAAAAACATATTAATATTAGCTTTTCAATACGTAAGATAGATTCTGATATACAAAATCATGTTGTACAGTTAGTTACTTTCACACAGCAAATCGCTATTCTCTCCCTCCCACGTTAAAAGCATTTTCAATAGGGCATATCAACTGGAATATAGGCAATATTTGACAGTGGGAAAGTGATATCTCGATCGTATAGTTGGTGGGTTGGAAGTGACGCGGTCAGTCTGAGAGGTTACAATACGTATGTATGTGCCCCCTTTCACCCTCTTCACACCTCATTGCACTAGTTTTTATTAACTTTGGAGTTACAATTTTCCATTAGGCTATTTATTTTTTCGTTTTGCTCTTCTAAATAAAAAAGGGGAAGAGTTTTGTTTTGTTTGTTTGAATGGGGTTTTTGGGAGGATTTTTTTAATGTGGGGTAGAGATGAACACAAAAAGTAAATATTCCTAACTTTGCAATCCCCATCATTAACATGTCAAGCGAAAGAACATGCGCGCAAGGCCTCTATAAATAGATACACTCTAGAACACCCAATACTCAAAAGATGGCCCTGGCTATCAGTTTAATCTAAATTGTCCAACCATAAATTTTAGCTTGCTTTGCTCGGGTCACGAAAGAAAAAAAAGTTTTTGCGATCGCGTTGGCGGGTAGCCTCCAACACTCAGGCATCCGCCCCCGCCTCCTTTCAACCTTTGTCTCTCTCTCTCTCTCTCTCTCTCTCTCTCTCTCTCTCTCTCTCTCTCTCTCTCTCTCTCTCTCTCTCTCTCTCTCTCTCTCTCTCTCTCTCTCTCTCTCTCTGTGTCTCTCTCTCTCTCTCTCCCTCCCCCCCCCCCCTCTCTCTCTCTCTCTCTCTCTCTCTCTCTCTCTCTCTCTCTCTCTCTCTCTCTCTCTGTATATGTGTGTGTATGTGTTTCTGTTTTACTCTAGGTGTCTCTCTCTGTCTCTTTCTCTCCTTCCCTCTGCCTCTTTTTTACCTCTATTTCTCAGTGTCTCTCTCTGATACTGTCTGTGTGTGCGTATCTCTCTCTCTATCTCTGCATCTGTCTGTTTGCCTGTCTATCTACATGTCCGCCTCTCATCTGTCTGTCTGTCTGTCTGTCTGTCTGTCTGTCTGTCTGTCTGTCTGTCTCTCTCTCTCTCTCTCTCTCTCTCTCTCTCTCTCTCTCTTTTCTCTCTTCTCTCTCTCTCCCCCTCTCTCTCTCATCGTCACTCTTGTCTGTTTTTCTTTTCCCAACCCGCTGAACCGAGCAAAGAATTATCATTTCCTTGTTTTATGGGGCGATGGTTCCACCGGTCTTCTGGTCAGGCATAGACTTATTCTCTCGAACGAGACCAGGGCTAGACACACGTTTTTACGGGCGGTACTGCCGCCACCGTTATCTCCCCTGAATCAACCGGATGGCGGCAAAGTTGAGGGTTCTGGCGTCGAGACCAATCACATTTATGAGGCATCGTGGTGAAACCAGGCGCTCGTCAAAATAATGAATCCAAAGAAACTCACATTTTTTGGCCATTAAGAATTTTTAAAATTATTTTTTAGAATTTTCTTTTTTCTTTGGATCAACAACTTTTATGTCAATTTCAAAACACATTTCACCTATTTGTAGGTTTTATTGAAAAACGTTGCTCAGTGGCTCAAAAATGTTATATGTGCAGTTTCCAAGGACACCCAAGCTCTAGAAGTCATCAAGTTTTGACGGCCATTTTCTCGCTAATTTTACAGCCCACACCAGGTGACGCCCAACCTCCTGAAATAGCAATTATCTCGACTCCTGTTCACGATAAGTGGGGTTTATTTTTTAAACAAAAGCAAGAGAAAAGAACAAGCTGTTAGATGATACCAATAAATCTACGTGCCCCTAAATTTGACGAGCGCCTGATTCAACCGCGTCGAGAGAAATCACATTTATACCCCTACCTACCCACTACACTACTCGGAGGTTTTATGTCACAGATTGGTCGCGCCGTCTGGAACCAAGATACCCTGAACACTTTTATAAGCAAACTGATTTATTTCATTATTTAACTGAGCCATCTGTGGACCGGACGAACTGACCAGCCGGAAATAGGGGTGAGGTTAAAGAGAGAGGAAAATCCCATTTCCTTCTCGATATAAGGGGAATATGTCGCGTTCATCCTGTGTTATACGAGAGCTAAAAAAGGGAAACAGACAACGTGGTCAGCCAATCTTAAGGGGTTTGTGATTTTACGGTACGTTAAGGGGGATACTAATTTTGTTGATGTTAAATTGGGTGGGTTGTGGAACTCTCATTTAAATATGACAAATAAAGGTTGAAGTATTGCGACGTTTTAAAACAATGATATATAGATTTGCTTTAGTTTGTGTGTATGTGATGATTGCGTAAGTTGGTAGGTGCATCTGCACACACGTGCGTGTGTGTTTGATGTGTGTTTGTGTGTGTGTGTGTGTGTGTGTGTGTGTGTGTGTGTGTGTGTGTGTGTGTGTGTGTGTGTGTGTGTTTGTGCTTGTATGTGCGTTAATTGTATATCATTGTAATTGTGTGTAAAGTATGGAAGCGCACATTTCCGTGATATTTACCTAGATTCCGGCCTATCGAGGATCTATCATTTTTATGCCATTATATATCCATTCAATGAAACACATAATTTACCCTTGTAAGTATTTTACAAATCTGTACTTACGTGGTCTAAGTCCGAGTGCGTAAAACGTCTTCAGTTTTTAAAAAAGTTTTTTTAGTTTTAGTAAAGAGTTTTACGGCACTTGCAACACAATAAGGTCATATGAGCGCCAGAAGATTAGAGTTGTCACAAGAGAGTAACAAATGTAAAAAAGAAGGAGGGGAGATAAGGACGATAGATATTTGACAGGAAAGAAGAAGCAAACCACACCAGGGCACCCGCCAACCACCCACTCAGTTTTTTTGTTCACGCACCCCCCCCCCCCCCCCCTCCTCTACCCGGTTCTTGAAGCCATATTAATCCATCCCATGTTATACGTTTCTCAATCATAAAGCGCCAGATCTGAAACAGACATTGGTGATTATGGTTCCCCATTCATTTCTCCGCTCAGATGCTAAAAAAAATCTTTACATCCTGCCTGGTGCTTCCCCGTCACCTTTTTGTACAGGATTTCCAAATAAGTTTCTTTGGATATGCTTGCTTCTTTTGCCTTCTATTTACACATTTACCCGGAAAGTATTGTAAAACTTGCTCACTTTTTCCGTCCTTCCAGGTTCCGTGGAGGGCGAGTCCATGTTCCTGTTCAACCTATCGTCACTCCGGCCCACTGAGCGTCTCCTGCACGCAGAGATCCACGTCTACAAACGACGCCTCAAGCCGTGGGTGCGCCACTTAGACTTGGAACTCATGCTCTACCAGGTGGCGCCACACTACATGAGCCAGTCTGGACACTTGACCATCAGAGATGGCGCCACCGGCTGGCAGTGGTATGACGTCGGCACGGCCGTTCGGGGCTGTCTGGATACCAGAGATCCCAGACCACATTTGTTTGGTTTGAGCTTTAGAGCGCAGCGTCCTAATGGGAAGGTAAGACCGGTGGCTTTGAAGAAGTTTGGGAGACATCATTCCATGCCGTTTCTCGTTGTCTACTCGAACGAGACAGAAGCAGTCCATTTTGAGCAGTTGGATCATCTAGCGGACAGGCTTCGAATGAGAGAGGATGGTGACTTCCGCGAGTCGGAGAATGATAGTAATTTTGAGGAGGATGATGAAGATTTCGAAGAAGATAATGTTGAAGATATTGATTTAGATCTGATCTCACGCGAAGAGGATGACGATCTTATGGAGTCCTTGTCACCATCTACTTCCTCCTCCTCCTCATCTTCTTCCTCCTCATCCTCCTCCTCCTCCTCATCCTCTTCCTCCTCGTCATCTTCATCATCTTCGTCGTCGTCGTCGTCTTCCTCTTCTTCTAGTGAAGACGAAGATGCTGAAGATTTGTTTGCAGAGTTTGGTGTGAATCTCAAAGAAGGAGGAGAGGAGTCAGAAGAAAAGTTGAATGATGACGTCGATGACGAAGACAGCGATGACGACGACGAAGACGACGACGAAAATATGTCTGGGAAGCTTCGTCAACCGAAAAGCAATATTTTGCCAAACGCTAACCAAGTTCCCCTTGAGTTGGAAGAAACTATTCCACAAAGGAAGAAGCGTTCCATATTCACAAACGAAATCCCTGAAGACCCTGCAGACTTCGACAAGTTCCGATACAACCGCCACCCGATTCCGCAGACACATCCAGGCATTCTGAAAGCGAGGAAAGAGTCAAGAATACAGCTGGGGAAAGGCGGGATCATCCCGTTCCCAGACCACCATGTACAGCGAAAACATCGGAGGAAGCATCGAAAGCGAAAAAATCGTAAACGATACGGCCGAAAGGGCAAGAAGCTGAAGATTCCGAAAGGGTGGAATCATTATCAAGACACTATGGTGAGAGAGAAGGAGAAAAAGGACTCCATGGGTGTGTGTGGCCGGAAGAAACTTGTAGTGAATTTCGCTGACATCGGCTGGGGCGATTGGATTATCTCCCCGCAGTCGTTTGAGGCGCACTACTGTGTGGGGACGTGTCCTTTCCCGCTGACGAAGGTAAGGAAACAGATTGACTGAGAACTAAAGAGAAAAATCATGTGTGGAAGTGGTGTGTGTGTGTGTGTGTGTGTAAAAGTGTGTGTGTGTGTGTGTATGTGTGTGTGTGTGTGTGTGTGTGTGTGTGTGTGTGTGTGTGTGTGTGTGTGGAAAAGGGGAGGGGTCGGAGGCGAGAAGCAAGCCATGAGCTAGGTTGGAACTATATTTATGTTTCTATACACTTACTGAATGTGCACTTGCTTGGGGTGTCCGTGGGTAGTGGCTACAGCTGCACGTGTCCAAGACAACCAGAAGGTAAAGAAACAGATTGAATGAGAACTAAAGAGAAAATGCATGATGCGTGGGAGTTGTGTACGTGCGCGTAGAACACGGGTGAGGAGCTAGCCATGAGTTAGATTCGAACTGTATTTATGTTTCTTTAGACTTACTGGATGTGCACTTGCATGAGGTGTCCAGGGGTAGTGGCTACAGAAGCACGTGTCCAAGACGATAATGAGCCCATTGCCCAGGAGAAAGGTGGTCATCTTAGACATGTGGCCATCCTGGAGAGTTAGTATCCTTATAAAGTATGGGGAAAAAGGTATGTGGGGAGTAGGGTGAGGGAAACGCTCTTTTGTACCGGTGATTGTCTTGGACAGGTGGTTATTAGAGCTGGTTTGACTGCGAAGATGCCAGTTTGTCACAGGCTTACACTGTGCCCTGCATGATGAAGTTATCACTGACACTTAAAAAAGAGTAAATTAATGGTTGATTGATTGTATGAATTGAATTTTATTTTTCAATTGTTTTTAAAGAAAAAAAACATTCATGGTTGAAATTTTACAGAGTAATTTAAATTTGCTTTGATTTGCATACAAAAAGGAAAAAATATTGAACAGCACAGGCTGAACTGACATTTTAGAAGGACTATCTCTACACTACCAATTGGAAGATGGAGAATAAAAAACTTAAGTTACAACTACAGTGTTAAAGTATTGTACTTATGACTGTCATCAATACTCAAATACTTAAATGAAATTGTGACAAACTGGGCAGCCCCCTTCGACTGTAGCTTCACAGTGCCAGCATTGTGACAAACTGGGCAGCCCCCTTCGACTGTAGCTTCACAGTGTCAGCAATAATTCCGTACATTGCCAGTTGCCATGGGGATGGTGGCCACCTTGGATATTGTGTGATATTTTCAAATCGCTAAACGTTAAGCTGGGTTTTTTTTAGAGATATGTAAAGCATACATCACTTTTTGTGATATAAATAAGTGATTTATCAAAACATCAAACTGTCCTTCCACACAACAGAATATTGTAATATTCTTGGATGTTTCGTTATTATGAAATAGGAAATATTTGACAGTGGGAAAGTGATATCTCGATCGTATAGTATAGTTGGTGGGTTGGAAGTGACGCGGTCAGTCTGAGAGGTTACAGTACGTATGTATGTGCCCCCTTTCACCCTCTTCACACCTCATTGCACTAGTTTTTATTAACTTTGGAGTTACCATTTTTCGTTAGGCTATTTATTTCTTTTTTTTTTCGTTTTGCTTTTCTTTTCATTTAGTTTTGTTTTATTTTAGGGTGGGGATGGGGTTGTGGGTGGGAAGGGTCCCAACAAAGAATATTACAGTAGTCCCATTTTCACAAAGTATTATTCCAGCTCAGATACCAATGCCCAACAATTGCCCTCGACCCACTGAGCGTGTCTCCGCATCGCGTAACCATTATGGTTTTAATACTTGTCAAGCTTTCAACCGTTGAAAACGTTTTTTTCTTCCTATTCGTGTTGAAGCAAAGAAAGAGCCTCAACAAACCCGAAGTCAGTAATTATTAAGTCATAAAAAGAACTCCATAGACGTTTGTGGGGGGGGGACTCCTTTTCAGACGTCGTAGCTACAATCAGTTCTTTATAATTTGCAGTCGTGTATGTATAAAAGACTCCACGAACCTTTCTTTGAAGACAGCTGCTATTGTTATCATTTTTATTTTCATTTGATGAAGCTCGTGCACTGCACTAAATCAGAGGTGTGGCTTTTGTTTTGTGGTGGAGAGAAAGTACCGAGCGGCATCTTGGAATACCTTCTTTTGTGGCTTGCTTATAATGTAGTTACGTATGTGTAGTATTTGGGGGTAGGGGGTGGGGTGTAGAGGGGGGCGGGACAGGAGTACGAAAAGAAATGTACAAACACGTTTTGGCTTCTTTTTTTTTTTTTTTTTTTACTGTAAACGCATCTGTAGGAAAAGTACCAAACGACATAATGTTTATTATTTCTATGTCTTTGTAAGGATTTATTGCTATATTGTTAATGAGAGAGAACCCTCCCTCCCACCCCCCACCCCCACCCCACAAAAAGGAGACCTTTGTATCCTTCTATTTTTCGTGCAATTGTGAGAGGGGAAAATATTAAGATATACATGTATATTTTATACACTTTCACCTTCTGCACCGTGTTTTGTTTGTGTAGGTCCAGCAGTTGTGGGGTAGGTCTTTTAGTATACACCAATGTCATATAAAAACTTTGCGTTGGGATTTTGGGTTTACGTTGTTTCGAGGGTTTGTATGTATGTGTTTGGGGTAATGAGGGGGTGGGGGTGGTGGCTATCTTTTTCCAGAAAAAGTACCAAACGACACAGTGACTTTTGGTACAGTTTCGAAAGCCATGTGTCCTCTGCCCCACCCCCTCCCCCCAACCTCCCCTTTCCCTCCCTCCTTCCTCCTTTTTTCTCCTTCTTGCTGACGTCGGAACGTGAGGGACGTCCGGAATGGCGGAAACGAATTGCCCCCCTCCAGGCTAGGGACGGCGCTAGTCTGTTTCCGCGGATAATAAATTTATTATCCTCCTGGTCTGCTGTCTCGCTGGGCGGGCGAATCGCTGAGAAGTGAAATTACATTTTGAAGAGAGCCTTGGTCGCCCCTTTCTGTGTGGCGTGGTGGCTTCAGTTCGTTGTCTACCACATACAGGGTAAGGTGGGTGGGTGGAGGAGGGGGGAGGGGGAGAAAGAAAACAGCAGAGATCGCCGTGATGGGAAGGATACATGAATAATAAATGCATGAATGAAAGATAGAAAGAAATGAAGGATGTAAGTCACGTTTTTCTTCGTTTCAGACCGAAAGTTGAATAATAAAATAAGAGACGTTGGTAACAGCACGCTTCAAAAGGACAAAAGTACCAGCGCAGTATCGAAGGGATACGTAGATCTATACGCCTGCGTTTTCCAACCTAGGGGGTATCACCCACTAAGTGGGTGATCTGGTAATTTTGGTGAGCCCGTGTGGATCACCCGGGTAGTGACAGATATTATTTAATTCTCGCCTGAAAGTACATCTAGATGGGTGGTACGAAACTTTTAACCTCTCAAAGGTGGCAAAAGTGTGTGCTGACTATAAAAAGGCTGGCAAGCACTGGTATAAATAATGACCGTAATAACACAATGGTGAACATGACAAATGAGTGGCTGCTGAAGAATTTCTGCTGTGGGGCTTACACATTTTTTTTCTGAGGCTTTGTATGTTCTTGCAACTTTAGACTGATGACAAACTTGTACTTTTGTGCTTGAAAAGGACGATGTAGACAAGTTAACAATGTTAAAATGGTAGACGACTTCTTTAACAACTATGGCAAACATGCTCCAACGTCGACTTATACGCAGCACCCCAGACCCTTTTATCTTGTTTTTCTTTTGTCTCTTTCTGAACGTGCCAAGTGTAGTTTGGGAGTTGAAAACATGTGCGACAAATGATAAATAAAACATGAATGTACTGAGTAATACTAAAAGTTTTCCTTTGCTCATAATAATGTGAGTTGAAACAAAAGCTAGAACAAATTTTTACTACCTCGAAGACTCAACAATGCATTTGACTATGCAAGTAGAGATGATGAAGGAGATGTGAAAATATTTTTGTAGTCTGCTGCTGTTTCTGTTTTTATTTCATTTTTGTTGTAGTTACTTACGCCAATGATCCGACTGACCATGAACATCACTGTAACGAACTGTGATATTAACCCTTTCCCTCTTCCAGTGTCGTTCGTTTTGACTTCGGTTAACAAATTAACACAAACAATGATTTAATAGGAGGGGGTGGGGGGGGGGGGGGGTAATGTCATCCTTCCTGAAATAGTATGACTAACTCTCTTAGTTCTGTGATCCCCACAGGATAAAAGGGTGTGGCTTTTAAAAGGGTCTTAGTGACTCTTGCTGGAATTTGACCTTAATTATTTTAAACTACAAAAACAAGAAACAACAACCAATCCCCTTATGAACAATTTGCGGAAAAGAACACAAAACACTTTCAATTTCTAAAAGAAAAAAAAAGAAAAAGATACATTGCCCATGTGACCAACTTGCTTAAGGCACAAAAAATCCTCAAGTTCGCACAACAAAATACGACTGCGCATGTTTCTACTTCTCATGCTGGTCTGTATATAACGTTTCCCAAGCAGACACTGAGAATTCATAGCGTAAAACAAAGCAAAAACAAACAAAAAATGGCCGCCGTGACGTCATACAAAAAGTGTGGAGAGTGGAGGATAAATGGGCGTACCACCCAAGGCGAAGACCGGGCAAAGAATAGTGTCCGACACGCGTCTCGGAGATGACGGGGATTTGTCGAGGAATTAGCGTGTGGCTTGACCCCTGTCCAGCCGCCTTCCCTTGAGGTCTGAGGTAAATCTCTCTCCCAGTACTTGTTGCCACTGTCCGCAGTAGGAGAGTTCTTGTAGTATAAAGACTCCGTGACGGTCACAGTAAAAGTCAATAGAAAATCCTGGTTGGCCCATCTAATATAAAAACCGACTTGTTTCGACTAACTGTAGTTTTCATTGATAAGATCACGTTCTGTTGCAGAAAAGCAGTATCTTAGCTGCGTGTGTGTTTGTACTGTAAATCTAAGATCTCAACTGAGTGAAGGGGAAACGTGTGTGTGTGTGTGTGCTGGTGTGTGTGGTGGGGAGGGGGGGGGTATATGCTTCCAAGGTACAAGTAAATCGGGGGTTTAAAGGAGACATGATG